AAATAACATAAATTAATATTAGGACCACTTGTGAATGTTTAGTTTTTACCATTTATACCCTTATATAACTAGCATATAAACTAAAATAAAAGGCTTTCTTCTGTTAAAGACAGAGTAAAAAGCAAAGACGTTTCTCTCGTGGCCGCATCACTACCCTCCCAAGGTAAAAAAAAAGAAAACCATTTCCTTCTCTCTCATCCACCTTGACTGTCCTTCCCATGGTAAAAAAACCAGGCATGAGAAGTCCAGTTACCTCTCTTAATCCCTCTTTTTTTTCCACTCTGACCTCTCTACATACCCTCTCTACCATCCGTTCTCCATGCAATCATAGACCTCTCTCAAGCTCGTATCCCTGTAACTATGGAAAAGGATGGTAGCTTTGGGTTGCAGTGATAGAGAGAGAAAGGAAGATATGGAGCTCTGCAACTACCTAATCTTCACCCATACCCTGCAACAACAATGGCGGTATCTTTAACCAAAGCTCTCGCACTTGGCCCAAAAGACTGCAGATATAAAGCTTACCTATTAATATCAAGCTCTCTGCTCATAAGAACACCTGAACCAAACAATAATAATGACTGCAAAAGTAGTTTTTCTCCCCCCCCCCCCCCCCCCCCCAACTCAAGAATCTCGATGCCTAATTTGACAACCACTAACTCCACTCCAAAAACCAGTTTTTCTATCCCAATCTCTCTTCCTCAAAACTCATTGATGCAATGTTCCAAATTAACTCCAGTCCAAAACCAATTTTTCTCTCGCAATCTCCACTAGAAACCCATTGATTCAAAGTTCCAAATCACAGGAAAAACAATAGCTTACGTATTTGGTTAGAAATTTTGCACTTCCAATAAAACAGAGGGCTAGAATTTTAGACCCCAAAACCAGCTTTTGTTTCATACCCTCATAAACCTAAATCTCAATCTCCAAATTCACAAATTTTAATTCAAGATCAAAACCATTGATCCAAATAATAAATTATAGTGTAAGATATAACACCTCCATCATAAGAAAAGTAAGCCCGCTTCCTCACTCTCCAACCCTTCTTCTTTCTTCTTTGACAGGTGGATGAGTGAGAAGGAGAGAGAGATGGTCGAATGAGAGAGAGACAGATGATAAATTAATTCTTCTTTTTAACCCTCCGTAATGAAAGATTAAAAATACCGTTTTAATTTAGGGTTCACATTTATTATGTGATGGTATTAAAGGTAAAATTAACATTTATAAGTGATTTTAACATTAACTTAATTATTTTGAG